TGCATGGTGAGGTTGGCACAGTGCCAGAGAGCAGCTCTGCTGGCCTTGATAAAAGTGCATTCAGAAAGTGCACAGCAGCTGGCACCCAGGATGTGGGTGAGAAAACAAGGGACTCTCCAAGGATCCCTGGTGAGCAGGAAAAGCGCATGATGAGGAGAAAAGATAACTGGCATCTTGCATTTCACTTTCACATTTCAAGGACAAACGAGCAAGTGTTTCTGAAATGTGCCCAGAAGATTACAGTAACATGGCCTTCATGATTTCACTGAAGGCCTGCTGGGAATATAACGGAAGATTTTATTATTTTTGACTCTATATATTCCCCCTCTATGCCATAGTTGTTGTCCAAAAATTATCAAAAATTACATCAGTGAGTCACAGAGTTCCCAATAAACCTGTTGTTTGCTCCTGTTTTTTTTTTTTTTTTTTTTTTAATATTTGCCAAATGCCTGCCTGAAATGGAGGAGTTCAAGTATCTTGGGGTCTTGTTCACGAGTGAGGGAAGGATGGAACGGGAGATTGACAGGTGGATCGGTGCAGCTTCTGCAGTAATGCGGTCAATGTACCGGTCCGTCGTGGTGAAGAAGGAGCTGAGCTGTAAGGCAAAGCTCTCGATTTACTGGTCAATCTACATTCCGACTCTCACCTATGGTCATGAGCTTTGAGTCATGATCCTCCACATCGAGAGGAGCCAGCTGAGGTGGCTCGGGCATCTGTTTCGGATGCCTCCTGGGCGCCTTCCTAGGGAGGTGTTCCGGGCATGTCCCACCGGGAGGAGGCCCCGGGGAAGACCCAGGACACGCTGGAGGGACTATGTCTCTCGGCTGGCCTGGGAACGCCTCGGTATGAGGAGAAAAGATAAGGAGGAGCTGGAGGAAGTGTCTAGGGAGAGGAAAGTCTGGGCATCTCTGCTTAGACTGCTGGCCCCATGACCCGATTCTGGATAAGCGGAGGAAGATGAAATGGAATGACAAAAACTGCAGTGTCCATCTGCTTAAGAAAGTTATTTAGTTTTTTTTTTTTATTTAAGAGATGAAAATATACTGTACATTCATCTTACTTAAATAGCCACCTTGGGGCTGAGCATCACAGTCAGGGTCAGGAAATCAGAAACTGTTTTCATCAGCCTTATGTTTTACCATGTTTGGATTTATTTATTTAGTACATATATTTTGAGTGTTTTTAAGTTGGATGGCCATGTGTTTTTCTTGATTGCACTACATGCTCACCAAAGCAACAAAGTCTTTGGTTTGGTCATATTTTTGATTGTATCAACTTTACCTACAACCAATTCATCAGCTTCTCCTTGAGCCTTCACACTGTCCAACTGTAAAATGATCTGTTTGTCATACATCACATGAACTAAAAATGGAATTTCAGTGACATGTTAACAGGTGGGTGTATGTGGGCATTGTGAGATGTGATTGAGCTATTATTGTAAGTTGACTTGATTAAAGATCACTTTGTCAGACATGTCTTGAATTAATTTTCAAGCTCTAATGAAGCTCAGTTTTGCTTGCACTGCACAGTCTTTGATGAATTGAAAGTCAAATTTAAGAAATAGAGGTATGTATCACAAGCCAACATTAAACAATTTGTAAGCACATCTAGCCCAGGTTAATGCACAAAATCAGCAGGGAACCTTTTTGGATTGTACATATAACAAACCTTTTTTCAGGACTATAACACAGAAAAACCAAAACCCCCCCAAAAAGGTCACTGTGGTTGTAGAGTGTCTGTTATGTGCAGACAGTCACGCTGGTGGTTGACTGGAGCGTAGGTGTCTGCACCCATCTGTGTTATACACGTTAGACCAAATGTCAGCAGCGAACCACGGGCTTTCCTTGGTTATGTTTAGCAGGCAGAAAACGGACGTTTTCTGAAGTCTAAGTTTGTGCTATCATTCTGACCATTAAACCACAAAGAAAAATATCAGACCCTGTTCATTCCCACTGTAAAATGTACTAAACAACTTCATTCAAACCTCCTAAAGTTATGCTGTTATACAAAAAGTCATGTTCACTGAGTGCAAAGAATGGTGCCAATGAAAACATGTGATGTATCAGCTGTGGTTTCTCCAGTGAAAGGTGGGAGGAGGAAGTTGATCAAGTAGCACGGTAGATTTATTTTTGTTACAGTAAGAAATGGGGTTTATGTGTATTGTGGTCTCAATATGGGGGAGGCACTTGTGCAAATAATACCACTGTAGAAGAAGGAGTGGGATTTTGTGTCAAAGTGTCTCATATATTTATAGATGCTGTTCAAACATTTTAGCTGTAACATTTTAAGATGAATACATCACTGTGCATAAATGTATTATAGGTCAACCAGTGTGGTAGTAATTAATGCGTTCACTCTTTATGTAGATATGAAATACATCCATCAGGATTTCTTTGCTAAAGCACCACCTTACAGTGTTTTGTACATTTGCTGTCCTCATGTATGTCTTTCTATAGACTCACCATTCCACACTGAAGGTCAAGAAATGCATCATAAATGCAGGTGCACATTTATCATGCAATAGACACAACAATGCAGCCACACAACTTGGATTTAAAATAAGGTGCACAGCTCTCACTTTATATTGAATGGAAACGATCTACACTGCTGGCATGCTGTTGATTTCTCCACCAAACATAAACCCACAGCTGAATATAAGCAATAGATCTTCATTACTGTCCAAAACACATCAGTGAGCCAGATGTTGCACTAGGCAACATATTCTTTTATTAAGATGAACAGTGGCACTGTACTTTCACAGATTCAGGTAAAACCTCACCTGCAAATCTGCTGGTGAAAATACCCAAGATATTGTATGTACTAAATGTTTCAGCATGAATAAAGTTACATAAAAACTATGATGGCCAGCTCCTTAAGGAAAAAAATATAAATATAGCATATACTTTTAATGGTACTATATTTTTGTGGGGCTTTGTGAGGTGTCACACGATTGAGAGACTTTGGACACAGATAATATTGTATGTGTAACTGAAAGTTCCCTTTTTCTCAGTAAAAAAAAAAACCCAATTTAAATTTTTTTAACCATATCTGTAAACATACAAAAAGGACTAAATTTAAGGATCTGTTATTTGTAGATTAAGGATCCAAACCTGACTAACACTTCTGCTGTCATTCCTAATAACTGAGTCACACAACTTGCACATTGTTCTCACTGTGACATTCAAAATAGTGAAGTGGTCACAGCTGAAACACAAAGGCTCAGACCAGACAGTGTGACTATCTGCACACACAACTGCTTTGTTATCACTTCAAAAATGTTTTGTTCTATTTTGACTTTCCACAGAGAAAGACCGCATCACTAGAAATGCATAAATACTCATACGCACAAAATTAGTAACATCCGGTTCCCCTGTGCTATGTTTGGGCTTTTATGTTATCACAAAGTGAAAAGCATCTGTCAGTGGAGAAAGCTGAATAATATCAGTAGCCAAAAATAAATGTCTATTACCTAAACCCTGATTTAGGGTGTGCAGTTTTTTGCAGAAGTGGAAATTTAAGATTGATCTAAAAATAACTGTAAATGTCTTCTAAGTGTGTAACTGTCTTCATGTAGGCGTAGGGCGGGGATAATTGTCTGATAAGGGGGAATTCAGTTCACTAAATGCTAATTCTTGATATGCACTATGAGAGGGGGGAATTCAGTTTGTTGTTTCTATAATTGAATCATCATTAAAAGCACAATTTTACTAGAATAAATGCTACATATTTTACAATTGCATGATTGTTTGGCTCCAGTCTGTTGTAAATGACACCAACGCTTACATTCAGACAAAGAAAGAAAAAATGTACCCATACCAAATGTTGTTTTCCCCCTATTGTCACTCACTTTGTACACTTGTGGTGGTTGGTTTTGGTCTCTTCATAGGGATTCCCATTTGGGCTGCATCTCACTGTTGACCCCTACTTTGTTTTCAGCATCACATTAATGAGGAAGCTGCTGAAAGGAGAGTGTGGGAGAAAACCAGTGAGATGAGTTGACTTTGAAGTGATTTGGAAAGAATGTTGGACAGGTGTTCGAGGAGGAGTAACACAGATGATTGTGTTTGTGGTTGGAGAGTGATGAGACCAGACCAGCGTGATGGAAAGCCCAGCCGACTGCTAACACAAACAGAAGGGGGAGAGAAAGAGGAAAGAGGGGGCAGGGCATGGAGGTTAAAAATGGTGGGGGAGCAATGACAGAGCAGAAGAGTGTTTTGTGTCAGCTTTGTAAGTGTGACAGATGATGCTGATGTTGACCAGTATTGACAGGGCTGAGGCAGTGTTTACACTGAAGTCCATTATCAAGTTTGCTCAGCGGGGAACAGATCCATATTCTGTCCTTCAGATCCCCCAGGGCTCACTGCCCCCCAAGCTCAAAGAAGAGAGACTTAGTCTGGGTAAAAAGCATCTATGGAATCTGAATTTCAAAGCTGTTTCACACACTTAGAAAACAGTGTGCTGTGTGTTTGCATCATTACTATAATTGAGAGTGACTGCTAAAGGAACACTGACAAGGGTGCGTTGGCACCCACTTCCAAAATTCCTAATTGAGGAATAATGTGAATGTATGAGAGGAGGGGTTAGCTGGCCCAGCTCCTGGCTCCTGAGTGACAAATGCGGTTAAAGCAGAGTAGATAAGGGACTAGTGTGTGTGTGTGTGCTGGGTGTTGGTACACTCACAATCCCCCAAGCAAAACATATGTATTTTGTCTATCAGAGTTGTTGTGGTTTTCCTCTGTCTTAAAACACTGAGCTGTATAGAGGAGGAGTAAGCAGAGAAAGTTTTTTTACCCCATCATACACACAGACAAGGCTTGGCCTGGTGAACTGCTCCCCAAAGACGCAGTATAAACATCAGTGTTCAAGGCCACGGTTCACTTGGAATGCACACCACCGCGGATTCCTGTAGTACTCTGTGACTTCCTCTCTCTCTACTTATTTGTCTCTCTCTCGCTGTTCAACTCTCCCTTTCAGCTAGAGCGTATTTTGGTTAAAACGCGGTCACTCCGCTGCCTTTACTGTGGGCTGTTCAGTCAGCATGTTGCTGCGCACCGGCTAAACACAGCGCAGCTCGGTGCTCCTGGTGTAAGTCAGCCCTGCTCTGTCCCGGGATGCCACTTTACCGTCAGCTGTGAGACAAAGTCCGCGGTGGAACCACGCGGGGACACGTCGCACACTTGCGGCTGGACATTAATAGATGGAGGGACTTGCGCCGCAGCCGCTGTTGACGCCGCACTCATCTGACTGGTTCACCTCCTCTGCTGGTACACGGGGGAGCGCGCTTGTAAGATGATTTGACCCGGGGATGCGAAAAGCTCTCTGGCATTAGAAGGTAGTTGGGTGACCGACGATGCCCCGCTGCTCACTCTTGCACTCCCGGTTATTGTTTGTGGGGCGGTGGGCGCACGGTACCTGGTTTTCCTCGGTTCATCCCCAGTAGCTGTACAGCTCCTGTGCCTCCTTGCCGCTTCGCTCCGCTCACCCTCTCGGTGTGGATAGGATAATATGACTTCCTGGCACCGAACGTACAGCATCGTCCCTCTGTGTCGCCTGCTCTGCTGCGCGGTGATCGCTGTCTGTGCGGAAGCCTCCAGCGCCGGTGAGTGGACGCTCATTAGAGCCAGTTACATCATATCCCAACAATTAGCTTAAATCTTGTATCATGTCAAGGCACGATTAAATGCGCAACATCAGCTCTCAGATGATGTCATCTGTGCCATCTGCAGGGGGTCGATGTTTTCCCAGATGCGTCACTCTCCATTATTTTATTCAGATTGTTTCCCTAAAGAACCTTCTTTAGGAGCATTTAAGGATTATATTTCTACAAAACTGTCATATCACTTGTTTTAAGGCACACTCTCTCTGATTTAACATACACTAACAGCTTAACAGACTGCTAGTCCTATAAAAAGTTACAAGATTATCAACATGTAACATGATTAGATCCTTTTTGTCTTTCTGGTCAATTTCAGAAAGACTGCTTTGTCATAAAAAACAGTCTAAATACAATCATAACAACATTTACTGGCTGTTACAATATAATAAATTCTTCATTTTATTATGTGCTACATTTGCCGTGATTTGGGCAGAACCCCACAAAGCATGTGTTAGAGAATTAAAGCAGTGCAGTAACAAACTACTAATCAGTGAAACCTCTAAACCCACCGTCAGGGACCAACTGTAATAACCTAGCCCACACCAGCACCTTCTTTTTAGCAGGTATTGATCAGGTGTAATTAGAAATTCAGTGCTTCACCTATTCAGAGATGTGCCAGAGGCCAGAAATGCTACAGTAACTGGGTCGGAGTGGATGTTACACTGGGACCTGCAGCCTTTTTCTGTCCTACATTCTAGTCCTGTAGCTCACTGAAATTGCTCTGGAAATTTGTATCTGAGAAGATAAATCACTTCAATAAATAATTAATTTCACTGCAGTTATTTCACCCCATAAAATCTTCTTTGTCATCGCTGTGCATCTGTGCTAACCTTGTTTAAAAGTATTTTGAAGCATGAGTGATTTGTCATTGTCACTCTATTAATACATTTGTTTGCATGAAGTGTTATCTGACTCTTGATTAAATGTTCTGTGTGTGTGTGTTGCACCACTACAGTAACTCAAGCACCTATCCCACATTTTATCACAGCTGGGTGATTCATACTGAATATGAGATGCTAAATGGTGCTTTCGTCATCAGAAGGGAGCATAAGATCTCTAAATGGGGCTCATCTGTATGGATAATGAATAAGTTTTGACATTCTGTCATTCGCTAATCACAGACTCTTCTCTTCTCCATCCCTCCCCATCCTTCCCCATCTCTTTTTCTACAGGTAACAGTGTGTGCTGGTCTCCTAGTATCACGTCTTGTGCAGAGTGTCTCCAACGTGGACCACAGTGTGCCTGGTGCTTCAAGGAGGTGGGACTGTATGAAACTGTGTGCTTGTGTGTGTGCCAGAGCAGAAGAAGAAAGGGAACATGACAGACATTCAGGAGCGTTCCTCAGATGACACACACTGAACCTTTGATGCCAGCCACAGATGTGAACATAATGTGTATGCTCAGGCTTAGGGGCCTGCTCTGTGACCTGTGTGTGAATGTTTCTATACACACTTTCTCATGCAGCAGCAGAGACAGAGCAACTTTTCATCCATTTGTTTAGTCTAGACTTTCACGCATATCACTGGGTTTCTCTCAAAGTCTGCATCTGCCTTGTGTGTTTATCTGCATCTGTCTTTGCTGTCAGGGTATCTGTCTGTCTTGTAAAGAGCCCACCTTGAATCAGTCATTTGAAGCTGCAAAGCTTACCAGTGCCACACCAGCTGCAACACACACGCACCCACACACACACAGAGGTAACCTGAGGATAGACCGAACTGCCAACGTGTGTATTTTTAGACTTCAGGTTCTTTCCACCCCTAAATCCTACCCATATGTGACGTCATTGAGCAGGAACGGGCTCACTGGTGTGTGAAAATGCCCAAACACCACTTCCCAAAACTTCCTACACACACTCATAAAATTCACTCAGCCAAGCACTTAAAGCTAAGCTCAAACCTTGTGAATATGTATGTTCACATCCTGCCACTTTCATTTAGTGCCAGTTGAAGGGGCAAACTGTGTAAGGAAAGTCCCCGGACGTCAACGCGAAACTATCTGATAATCTAATTTATTACAGGAGAAATTCTAGGGGACAGCCAGAAGTCTAGCTTTGACTGGGGTCACATACTCAGTCACACTTTCACCTTTTAGTGTTTTATTGCTGCTTTACTCTTATTCTATTTCTGTTAGTAAATTTGGATTAAAGATTACAGCTGCATAAACCCAAGACACAGAAGAGATCCGAAAGAAGTCCACTTGTTCTTGCGCTACATCTTAAAAAGCAGCCTATGTGTATTATTTCTACAACTTTTTGAAGGCGTTTTTATTCCATGTCTTCTTTGGTTTTCATTTTTCTTGTGTTGACTTTTGGTTTTGTAAAATTTGAACATACAAATAAAGTATAAAAGCTTAAAAGAAGGCCACAGCAAAGGAAGTGCAAATTTCCAAAGTCACCTCTTCTCCTCTTGGCCTTGCTAGGACTTTCCAGATGTGTACTGGCCAAGCCAGCGCTGCGACCTGCCAGTGAACCTGCTCAGAAAAGGCTGTGAGCCAGAGTTCATGGAGCAGTCAGAGACCAAGGTGGAGGTCAACACCACCATCAGCAGCACGCAAGTGTCCCCACAAGACATCAGTATCACCCTCAGACCAGGTACATGACAGTACTTGTTTATGCCTCACAGAGCAAAGCAAGTTTTCTTAAAGCAGCGGGGGTGAAATATAAATTGTGTGTGTTCCTAGGTTCAGAGGCCAGCTTCACTGTGGCTGTGAAGCAGCTGGAACGTTATCCTGTGGATCTGTACTACCTGGTAGATGTATCGGCCTCTATGAAGGAAAATCTGGATCATGTAGGTGTAGATACATTCAGCCTTAAAGAACCATAACCAATCAGCAAAGACAATTAGATCAACTACACAACTATTAGATCAATGGGGTGTATGAGATTCCTACTAACTTTACATCTGACATTTTTGTTTTCTTCTTGTCTTATCATATCATGTCATATCATTTTGTTTCACCTTCTACCTCTTCTACATTTCCCTCTTTTGTTTTCCTCTTTCTGTATAATATACTTTACCCACATTTGGCTTTGCCACCCTGTGTCCACTGGCTTCTGTGGACCTGCCTGCTGTCCAGCTGAAGACAGTGGGTGTAGCACTGTCTCTTCGCATGAAGGAGCACTCTTCAGACCTCTGGCTGGGTTTCGGCTCATTCGTGGACAAACCTGTCTCCCCTTACATCAGTGTTCATCCCTCCAAGATCAACAACCCCTGCAGGTAAGACAAAGAATTCATTGGTTAGATTAGTGATTGCTGAAAAAAAGCTGGTTAATCCTCTCCACATAGCTCAGTTTGTTAATTTTCTGTTTCTGTTTTCTGTTCTCCTATAAAGTAGCGAGATCTTTAAGACCTTCAAAGGTTGCTTTGTTATAGGCCTAAAATGTTCCTCTTTAAATGAGACAAGAAGTGTGGTGTAGGGATGTGAGTGCTTATTTAAAAAATATTCAAGCAAGTCACTACCATCAATTACTCCTGACTCATGGAGAGACTCATCATTTGTTATGATGATGAGCTGTCTCAGCAGATTTTTAGCATTTGTTAGCCCTGGAGGTTGTTTTTGAGATCTGCATTCCTGAATGTTGCATTTGATATATTTTTCTGTTTTTGGACTCTATCTCTCACCAGTGACTATGAGATTCATTGTCGTCCAACGCATGGCTTCCACCACGTCCTCAGTATGACCAGGAATATGAGCGAGTTCACACGGGTGATTAAACGACAGCGCATCTCTGGTAACATGGACAATCCTGAGGGAGGGCTGGATGCTATGCTGCAAGCTGCTGTCTGCCAGGTGTGTGCATACTGATGCACTTACAAGAGCTACTTGTGTGAAACAAAAAGATGGGGAGAATTTTTTTTTTTTAAGTAGATCATTTTCAGTTTCCTGGAGTTTTCCTGAATATGTTCTGAAAAATGTGAGCCAAGCCCAAATCTGACTAACCAGTTTAAATGCTGGTGAAAGCGACATTTATTCTGGGAGGAAGGTGGTAAACTGAGTCAGCACCGGATATTGTCACTAGAATTCCACTAAAAAATGACACAACTGCTGTGATATGGCAGAAATCACAGTTGCTTATACTTTGGCTGAAGGAGGGCTGTGAGCCACACCAGGCAGGGGGGCCCTGAGTAACCAGCCTGCGGGGAAACACTGTGGTGGTCACCACTCTAGAAATAGATTCTCCATTATGTCAGTCTGAACTGAAAACTGAATGGGTTTCCTTAAATACACACACATGCAACACACAGCCCCATTTTTTCTCACACTCTGCCTGTGACGAGGCAGAGAGAGACTCTTTGCTGGCTTGTTTTTAATAGGCATTAGAAAGAGCTGAACACTGTGTGAACTAATGCAGTTCAGATGAGTTAAACGCTTGAATATGCAGTTTCTTACCACATGAGTAAACCTTTAAAATATTAATCATGCACATATTTTCCAGATTGGTTTATGTGAGGGTGGCCGATGAGTGATAAAATTGTCCTAAAAATGATATAATTTGTTAGACTCATTTCCAGATGTAGATTTGTGGTGATGTTTAGTTGCATTACGATATACAGTAAGTTAAGTTTTTAAATTTACAGCTAAATATAATAACATTTCTGACTATGTTTTAGAGGGCGGTGGGTTGGAGACCAGAGGCAAAGCGTCTGTTGCTCCTGATGACTGACCAGTCATCCCACCTTGCTCTGGACAGTCGGCTGGCGGGGATTGTTACACCACATGATGGCTTGTGTCACCTGGAGAACAATGTCTACACAGGGAGCACCAGGCTGGTGAGAGGAGGAAGACATTTCTAGGGTGCCGGGGGGTCTTTAGGGTCAGAACAGCTGCACTTAGGATGACAAACAAAGGCAGCTAGTGATGGAATTATATAAAACTGACTCTCTAAGACTTGTGTGCTTGTTGACTTGCATTTTAAAGCTCACGGTCCCTTATTAATATAGACTGTAAATTACTAAATGAGTTGCAGGGGAAATATGTGCTGTGGATTTCAAATCTGACAATGTTGTACTCCAATTACAGATTGATACATTAAGATCATAGGTAAATTCCCACTTAAAGGAATAATTAGGAATTTAAATTTGGGAAATATGTTGTTATTATTATGATATATTTTCTTTCTTGCCAAGAGTTAAAAGCGACGATCATTGCCATACTGCAAGAAAAGAGAGACCGCAGTTCCTCTGCCTGGCTGAGAAGTAGTCTATAGAACACCACAGTCTGTAGTTTTTACACTTTGGTTTTTGTATGGATTAAACAACCAAGCTATAACGTCTTCAGGTGCTGGTAGGCAGAACTGAACAGAGACAGTCTAGCTGTTCCCCTATTTCCAGTCTTCGTGCTAAATTAAGCTAGCCAGCTGCTGTGAAAGCTTCCTTTATAAATCTTCTTATCTAATTCTTAATTGACACAAAAACAAATAGCTTTCTTTTCCCCAAAGTGTCATATTATTCCAAAAACAGAGTGATAAAAAAAGTTTTTAATTGAGTTTTTTTTTTTTTTTTTGTCTTTCTCAGGACTATCCTAGTGTGGGACAGTTGTCTGATAAGCTGCTCGAAAACTATATTTATTCCATATTTGCTGTGGAAAAGCAGCAATATCAGTGGTACGAGGTAATCTCACCTACATATGTGCACTTAACATACAGTACTGTACACTGCCACACACTGATGTGAGGGAGCAAGAGTTCCCGACCGTTTATTAACACCTTTGCGTTCAAGACATTAAATCACTATCAGCTACACTGTTACTTCTTAAACAGTGTCGGTGTTGACATGGGTGACTGTAGTATTTGGGGGAGTTTATTTTAAAGCATCAAAGTACTTCTTGTTCTCATCTCACTTTGCTTCTCTAGGAGTTGGTGCACTTGTTACCAGGCTCCTACCTGGGAAAGTTAGGCATCTTCCAGGCTTCAAATTTAATAGACCTGGTGGTGGACGCATACAAGGTACAGAGCACAGCTCTTGCTTTCTCTTCCAATGTTTTAGGGAGCAGCTTCTTTCTCTTGTTTAGATCCATTTGTCCTCCCTCGGTATATGATAAATTTGTTAGACAACAAGAAGGAGAACAGGGAAATGTAAAAGTTTGAGGAGAGGAATTCAGCAGCACAGCAAGAGTGGACTTTATGAGCCCACGCAGTCCTGGTTCAAAAGTGTTTTATGTAGTCTGCTGATCAGCTGAGCCAACATGAGCACTGTTGTCTTATGGCTTTGTCTGATCATGCAGGCTGACTGATACTATAAACACATTCCATTGCTAAAGAGGATTGTGAATCAGTGACGCAGCAGTATTTAATTGAGAAATCTGAGTCAGAATGTGCACAAAAATGACAGAGACACAAATAAGAAACAACTTAAACACATTGAAATTCAGTCTTGGGAAAATGAAGATCTTTTTGATCCTCGAAGGCCTAATGTTACAGAAAAACACAGAAGGTTAAAGAGGTGTAAGACCCTCTGTGTGAGACTAGGCATTTGTTCAGTTGGCAGCAGACGAGGCTATAATCTTGCCTCAGGCACAGTGCTCTATTGTTTGTTTCTAGAATCTGCCAGACCCACAGATCCAGGTGCACAACCATGTTACATACACAAGCAGCAGAGCCCCAAACAAAAGCTGGCATTATAATAGCTATCAGATCCCCACGGAAACCATGTGTCCTAACCATGGACGAATACAAAGATGCTATTTTTGGCCCCACCTCCTTGTTCCCATAAACCCTCCCTGCATTTCAGAAAAAAAGAAAGGACAACAGTGAGGGCTTTCTGAGGACACGTGACAGTTTTAATCAGTCAGAGATCTCCCTTTTTGTAACACTAGCAGAATATGCTAATTCAAATTTTAAACTGTCACTATCCTGTCTACTGTAATTGATTTTGACCTGCATTCACTTGCAACCAGTTTAATAATTTGGCTTTAAAGAATGTCTTGATATCTGGTAGAAAATTTGTTGCTTTGTATTTCTGCCCTTGCTCCTCCCAGAGGTTGTTGTCGGAGGTGGCAGTGTTGGTGTCAGTGGAGGACAAGGCAGTCAGCAGGTACTGGGTGTCTGTGTCTCCTGTCTGTCCTGACGGATCCACTGCTAAAGACCAGAGCTGCTCTGGAGTACAGCCAGACCAGACGGTAAACACACAAGCACACCTCCAGTACTCAGATTTAGCAGAGCACATGATAAAAACAGCAGAATAATGTAGCTAAATGTTACTCAGATATACACAGAAATCTTTAAATTGAGCTCCCCAGAGATGTCACAGACCATTTGTTGGTCAGATTCGATTACTGTGATACATACATCACTTTACGTGACAAGAAAGAAAGTATAGGCTGTATTTTACAGCAAAACATTTCCATGTGATTCCATAAACTTTCTGTCCTGAAGGCAGCGCCCTGTGTAATACAAGTCTTACAAATAAGACCGATATTTAGAAGCAGGTCAGTGCTGTCATATCTGTACCATTTACCACAAGAAAGGTCCTACACCACTATGCATCTCTACGCTACACAGGAATTCATTTGGTACTGTTTGGAACATTTTGGCTACATTTAGAAATATCCTGTCTGGTCCCTAAACACCACATGATACTCCTCTCCTCCTCCTTAACCTTCTGAGGCTCTTAGCTTACACCAAAATGCTTAGTCACTGCTCTATAGTTACTCCATTGTGCAAAGAGACTGAAGTTAAGACCTTTAATCCATGGGTGGATTAAAGTGAATTACGGGAAAGTACCCACATGTACTACAATGGTGATTAAAAATCAAGTAAAAGGCCTGAGTGTAGGCTCAAAGCTTTAGAATGCACACTTTTCCACACAGCCAAAACCACATCACAAGAGCTATTCAAATTAAATTAAGGCAGACATTGTCATAATTATGTAATGAGAAGTAGATCATTTAACATAATGATTTACAGCATACATTTTTACTCTGCTTCAGTTTGCTGAAACTGCAACTTGGTTGTTAAATAGTGATTAAAGTGTTGGTATGTTTTTTCCCCCTTCTCTTGCCTTACGTGAAGCTCTATCGCCTGTTGCCCTTTCTAAATGCTACAAACCTAAGTTTGCAGAAACACTAACATCTGAATGTAGGCACATCATTGTTTTGAACTCAACGCTAAGCATGTTAGCATGCTCACAATGACAATGCTTACATGCTGATGATTAGCAGGTATAATGTTGTTACAGTTTGTATATAATAAATCTAGAACCCAAATGCAGACCCAAAGCAAGAGGCAAAGAAAACTGACTGACATAGAAACATAAAGCTAAATATAAAATAGCTGAACAGGCAAATCACACAATCAAACCAAGACAGACCAGAAACTGAGGGAAAATGGCTAACAGTGAGCAAACAAAGGAGCACATGGAGAACAAAAGGGAACCCAGGAGACAGAGCTCAGAACAGAGTGGCAAGCAGGTAACAAAGGAGATGACCAAATGACAGGAACAGGACAAGGTACTGGATGATATGATCTGGCCCTGGAAAATGCTGGCTGGACTCTTAAATACAGGGACTGATAACTAAATGAAAACAAGGGTGTAAACTGGGCCGGAAATCAGAATAGTGAAGTTGGAGCTGAGAACAAGGGGCCAGGGTAGAAGTATGCCAAAATAAGAGTCTAAAACCGGAAGTGCGGGGGAATCACGACAAATGTTTACCGTGAGGACCATCATACATTAGAGTTTTAACATGCCAAACATTTGTTAATTAGCTCTATACACAAAGCTGAGGCTGATGGGACTCAGTTTTGCAGGTATTTGATCACTGGACAAATTAAAGTTTGGTGTTCATCCTCTAGAGGCTGTAGATATCAGTACAAAATCTTAAGGCTATCCACTGAATAGTTGTTGAGATATTTAAGTCTAGAACAAAGTGGTTATTAACTTATTTGTCTTCTCCTGCAGGTTTACTTCAACATCACCATTGGCCTTCGTACTTGTCCTGACAATGGTGAAGATGAAGATATAAGAGTGATGGTTCGCCCTGTAGGTTACAACGAATCCACCATCATTAGGGTTCAGTCTAAATGTCACTGCCGTTGTGGACCAACAAGACGCTGTCATGATGACAACCAGTCAGCTTGCAGAGGGACACAAGAGGAGGAGCAGAGGCCAAATCGCAGAATGATTCAGGCCTCAAACAGAGATTTAAACTGGAACTGCAGAGCCAATGGGTCTGATGTGGACTGCAGTGGTCGTGGGGTGTGTGAGTGCGGGAGGTGTGTGTGTGAGCAGAGCAGGCTTGGGACAGTATATGGAAAGTACTGTGAGATGGATGACTTCTCCTGTCCGTACCAAGGTGGACTACTGTGTGGAGGTAAGGTGGACACACAGCTGTGCAAACTGTACAAAGTATTATGTACATTAGTTCACAAGAAATAAACTAGAAATATGAGCACATTACACAATATACAGTTTTTAAGGCACTCCTGTAACACTCTTTTGTCTGGTCTGTGCCTTTCAGGGCATGGGGTGTGTGTGTCAGGTGAGTGTGTGTGCGAGGAAGGCTGGACAGGTGATAGTTGTGGGTGCCTCGTCTCTACAGCAACCTGCCAATCAGCCAGCGGCTTGCTTTGCAACGGGCGAGGAAGATGCATGTGTGGCAAGTGTGTGTGTGATGACCCCCGATACTCTGGAGACTTCTGTGAGAGATGCCCTGCTTGTCAAAGCACCTGCCAATCACACTGGTACTTGTCAGTTTCCGTTCGCTACCATATAACATGATGGGTACTTTTAAAGGGCTGCTTATGTTGATGCTGCTGTCATTGTGCTCTTTGGTCTCACTTCCTCTTAGGGAATGTGTGGGCTGTCACATGTCTCACGGTCTCACACCAAAAGAGGCGGAACCATGCAACAATACCTGTGCACCACTGGTGGACTACATGGATGATGTATCAGGTACAGCAAATGTAGCCACTAGAATCTGGTCGATACTGTAAGCAGCATTTCACTGTCCTCTCTTTTGCACCTCTGACCATCTGTAACTGCATGGCATGCTCAAACACCCTGGAGGACATTTCTGCATCACTGCAGCCAGATGTGGATGGCTGATGAGAAAACCAAAACAACAACAACAAGCTAATAAAAGAACAGCCAGTAAAAGAGACTGGGAGACTCTCATTTGGTGGATTTGTCAACAGCCATTGTTACAGTAATATAAAGATATTGATTAGTGTTGCTTTGATGTGAGAACTGAGCTGTAAAACACAGCAGTTTTCTGGTAATGTTACTTTCATTGATTTTTTAAAGTAATCCTGGAGGATTGTCACAAGGGCTTACAGCTTGTCTGAACTGAAAACCATCTCATTTCTGCTCTCTCTCTCTCTGTCTCCATATTTTTTCTATTTTTAGGCCCAACAGGGGACATGTGGATTCAGTGCATGTACATCAGTAGTGACAGCTGTCGCTACCACTTTCAGCTCAGCTTGCATTATGGTCAGACCCAGCTGCACATTAGCACAAGACCAGGTATAATGTCAACACGTGCGCTCACATACACACGTCTTCAGTCAAGGTCACTTCCGTTGCTACCATTGCTGCACCCTAGTGTATTAAAGTCAAGCATGCTGTCAGAGTTACAGCTGTATTTTACATTTTCCTTCGGTTCCCAGCTGACTTTCCTGATTTTCACACACACACTAACCTTTCCCTAAGCTTAAACCAACTCAGTCCGATGAGAAATCCTCACAGTGTTAGTGTGTTAACAGGTTCCGGTCCCCACAGTGTGAATAATACCAGGCACACACACACACACACACACCAGTTTAAAACCCACTTGTTCACACAAGACCTGGTTTACACACACACATGCATACATACACACACACACATTTTTGTGCATGCAAGTGCTACAGTTCATCCCTGCCTTTCTGATTTTTGGAACAGCACGGCTCATTGTGCATTCCCTCCCACCTCCCCCTACTCCCTCACCCTTCTCCACCCAACGGGATACTCTCTTCATGCTCACGCCTACTCCTCTTGTGTGCACCAGGAGCCAGGTCTCCACGGTAACCCTGTTACAAAATGTCAGAACGCTCTCTGGGCTTTTTGTGTTGCATGATGAGCCCATCATCCACACATCCCTGGCAGATATACAATCAGCTAACTATTCAGTACAGCACCGCTGGCCTAGCAGTGTGTGCATGTTTGTGTGGAAACTAATTTACTCAAGCACTGAGGTACTTGTCCTTTACTTGAATTTTGTTCATGCTGCTTTATGCTTCCATTCCACTGCATGCCAGAGGGAAAATATTGTTGTTTTCCTTTGCTACAATTCTCTAACATCTGTGTTAACTTTTCAGATTTGCATTTTACATTAAATCATAATAATAAGTCTATAACCAGTACATGGTTTGTGACCTCTTACAAAAAACTAGTTGGGGCGCCTTGAGAGATTTCAGATATTGTTTTTAACAGTTCCCCCAAAGAGATACTTATCTTTTAAACTTCTTAGATGGTTTTGTCTAAATGATTGAGAAATAAAGAAGTTAAACTCTTTATTCTCTTAGAAAAGTCAAAGTAATTCATCCAAATACAGTATGTGAAGTACAATCTTGTGGTTGTTTCTTTTTTGCTACATCAATCACCTCACGACCCCTGAGACTTATCCTGTGACCCCTAAGAAGGGGCCTAACCCCTAGGTTAAAAACCAATGGCCTAAACTACCAGAATGTGTATAAAGTTAAGTCAAGCTCCGCCTAGACCAGCTACAGCAGGAAATGTATATCTAATCTAATTATATCATCTAAAACAGTACATTAGTCACAGGGGGAATTTGTTGATTAAAGTACATGTTGTGACTTTGAGGTCTGTTTGAGGATTTATACTTTGTTTTAAGTGAAACCTGTGTGTGTTTGTGTGCATCTCCACAGAGTGTGCCAGCAGCAGCCGGCAGGTAGGGACTTTCTTGAGTGTGTGTGCCCTGACAGTGCTGTGCGGGCTGGTGGTGGTCGCAGTGTCCCGGTTGCTTCTACGGAAAAACAGCAGGTCACCAGGGGGTGCTGTTGATGTTTACCACTGCACTGGAAAGGTTAGCTCTGGAAAGTGAAGCACAAGGTGGTTATCAGCACAACAGGGTTTTAAGTGAGGGGAGTCTAAAGGGTCCCTGGAGCCCTCAGATGCTTCTGGGACCTCTTAATTCTTAAGCATAGTTTTTGTTTATATGAACTGTCTGCAGAAACCAGGAATGAGAAATTTGAGCCTGCTGCTAGAGGTGCAGCTGTATTTTTCATTTCCTCTTAACTCCCAGATCAGCATCCAGATTTGTGACCTTACAATGATGAACGGCACTTTGAGAGGGAAGCAGGAACTTTCTCTAAATATGTTTGCCTACAATGGTTTAGTCTATTTATAAGTGTTGGGAAATTCTTCATTTTTTTTGTTCACCATTCACTGCAGATCATCCAAATGACACCACAGATTATAGAATTGGTCACAGTTCCCTGGTGATGTTTCTATTGTAACATCACACTCTCAGTGGGAAACGTAGTACATATTTTATATTATCTGGGAGTTATGTAAGTGTTGTAAGGGTGTACCTACTTCCTCACTGATTACATAATGCAGACTTCTTAGGTTAACATGTATGAAATCTACTTAATAGTAAAGGGGAACTCCACTGATTCTGTGTGTCAAAATCATTTTACTAGACATCAAGATGACTACACAGCCTGTGTAGCCAAACAAAGTTCTTCGAGGCCTCTGTTGGACTTTTTTTTAATAACAGCAATGTGATAGATATAGTGTAACTATTGTTAACACACAGTATTTTAAGCCCTCATATAACCAGGTCTGCAATCCTATAACCTCGAGCTGGCAGATAACGTGAACGCTTGCAAGTCATGAACATGGAAACCTTTTCCATCTCTTCCATATGAGTGTGGCATCACAAAAACATGCCATTGAGTTGCAGTATATGATGTGAAGGATTCAGTCTTTTTGGACTGAAGGTCTCTGCTGCACTGATTTTGACATCTCTGAGTCCCCACATTTTTTTGAAATGTAAAGCTGAATTGACTATCATGTTTTGGTTTCAGTGTGAATTTGTGTGTTTCTTGATACTGACCTCATATTTCTGTCATCCTTCAGGACCTGTCATACATTCCTACAACCAATGAGAAGACAGTTACCTACAGAAGGGACTATCCACCTGACCACCCTGTGGAGATGCACACCGAGGTTTCCAAGATGCCCTATGGGGATCCCTGGCAGTGCTAAGCAAAGGTCAGAAGTCAAGGTCACAAGGAAGGTAACCAGTAGAGACATATAGAAGGAAAGCTGGACTAAAAGCTTCTTTTCTGCCCTTTAATTTTCATATTTTTTCGACCAGCCGTATGTGCACATTGTGATGACGGTAAAGTGTGAAACCCCACTGGAATAATATTTATAAAATAAACTCAGACTATGTGACGAAGGTGGCCACCATCCTGGAAATTCAGATGAAACAAAGAGCACAAGTTTGTCACCTCTTCTTCCTCTATAGCAACAGGGAGGCTACTTCTACAACAGGGTAATGGGTATTCATTCCTTGCTTTTAGCAATACAGCAATTACTGCTCTAAATTATGGATGTGTGCGAGTGCAGGTGTGTGCGTCTGTGTGTGTGAGTGGTGTAGGTAAATAGGTTTATGCTTTATCTAGGCTATTTATAATTTTTTTAGTAAACACTACATGTGATAATGTAATATTTTTTAGTAAAACGCTACATGTGATAATGTGATATTCCATCTCATAAACTTTTACAATCTCCATCTTTGTCTGCCCCCTTATGGTCAACTTGTGGTATGACATATTCTCTCAGATACTACTGTCTACACATCATTGACCTCATCTGCACTGACTTTGGGATTTAATTCATGAATCACACCAGTGACTCTATGCCTTTTTTACTTTGTTCCTTGTTTTTCAGTCATTTGTCAGTCACCTAGTTTTCTAGTGTTTGCAGATGTTTCTTTGTTGCATTTTGTTTTTGTTAACTCATTGACTACATTAGAAACTTATGTAATTTTTCTATTATGATAAGTAAAAACATAGTTTCATATGACTGTCAGTTGGTAATAATTGGGTTAGATTTGCACTTGAACAATTGTTTTGCATTATACTACTGAAAACTACGGGGTCTCTGTGGTGGGAGAGCTGTCATAGTGGGTCTGAAGTGATTAGTTTGCTACAGTATATGTTGGGCATTACAAGGCATCTATATGCTGTTGAAGCTATATAACAAAACCTGACACTGGAATACAAATTCACATGTAAAATACAGCCTAATAGCAACTGTATCATCAAATGCTTGAACAAGTGACATTTAGTACAGAGGCAGAACTATGTGCATGCATCTGCTGGTCATCCCAGAGCTACTACTATCCAGAACTGCAGCTACACTATGTTTAGACTCTGAGACAACTTCTGGGCAAAGGTACAAAGAAGCTTGAAAGGAACTGAGATCAGAGGTGGACTTACACTCCCCACAACCCTAATGCACCATCCTCTGGATCCAGAGTGCCAGTTGCCTGGCATTTTGTGAGCATCCTGTTCCTTTTCTAACTTTTTTCTTTTTTCTTTAACACATTGTTGTTTACAACAATAGCTGGTCTATTTTATTATAAGCCAGGAACACTAATGATTATTTATTGTGATTTTATAATTTTATTGTTTTATTTGATATGTTAATCGTACCATTATATGATCAGGCTACCTGAGTTACAGGTAGTAAGTACTGTTTGTGTTTATGAAGACTCGCTCTCCCTAAGCATGAGAATACTTCAGCAATAAAGTAATCATCTCATCTCACCAGGTACTGAGAACAGAGTAACAACAGCACTTTTTTGTGTAGTTATACTATTAATTAATGTTTTGTAACATGAATACTATCATCACAATAAAATTGGCAAGAATTTCATTTAATCATTTCTTGAGCTCTGTAGTTTTTCGATACTAAGAGATCGTACTGACATTTTAATCAAAACGTTATGCTAGTGTGGTGAAACATATCAAATGTTCAACGAATATTTATTACTAAGATAGTCAGTCTATATTTTATACACTGTCAACATTTTCAGTTCAGTTGAGTTTACGATTTTGTATGGGTCTGGTTTTTGAATAAATATTTATGTTCCAGCAAAATGTAGAAAAGGTCAAAGTCTGACCAACTTTGTATAAATCTTTTGCATCCAGTGCCGTTATGGTCCAAAACCAGGTAACTGTATAAATTGAACACTAGGTGGAGATGCACACTATGCAAATTTAGATAAGGGTTACTGATCACTGTACACATTTCCTGCAAATGGCAACTCAACTGTTATTGTAATAAGTGAAAAAGGGCCTGATGTGAGTACACTGTATGTATGTCAACAGTGCAGGACAGAAGTAAAACAATACCTTGATCAGGTAAATTTGCATTTTATTAGATGTGACTCAACAGAAATATTACTTCAACTTGTAATTTATTTGATTTAATGGTGCATGTCACTATATTTTTTCTAATATAGAGCTATAGGCTTGCACCACAAGTCAATTAGGATCCTGACCGTTCATTTTAAAAACTGGCTGAATTTTTCAGGTGCCTGAAAAAGGTTCTAACATGATGTGGTTAATGGTAGTAGTATTCAGTGCTTATGTAGTTATACCTGGTTTGAATGGTCGAGATAAATGTTAGGGGTTTGTCAGGCTATATAATAGTTTATATTTGTAATACTCAGAAAAAGGCTCTTTGATCACATAGTATACAAACTATTCTTAGCAGGCCTAGCAAAAAACGAATAATGTTCCAAATTTGTCCTGTTTTACTGACTCCAGTTATAATCATGGCTTATAGACAAAGATAAATTGTAACAATTTCTTTCATTGAAATGTAAAGCAACATTTTAAAAATAATATTTATATGTTAGAACCTTTTATAATTGTGTGAAGATGTCGAGAAAAATGTAATTCAATAAGAGACTATTCGTTTGATTCTAAAAAATTTTTTTGAATAAATAAGGCGCATAAATCATGTCTTCAAATAGGCTAACACAAACTGTAAAGTAACAATTTATTTTTAAAGAAGGCTACAAATAACATGTCTGAGGTAAGGACAGTGTTCATCCACAGCTGAAGTTAATTATAAAGTGCCATTTCAGCTTTTAAGTGTCCCAGAAATCACACTCCATACAGGCTAGGTAATTAAATGACAATGTGTTGCTTTGTTCTCATTTAATCTGGTAAATTATTCCACCGCTCTCTGTACCTGGGTGGTTTGGACAGTCTCGCGCATGTGCAGCCCGGGAGACTGGCTCGGGCTACCGGAGTGACTGCTGTCCGTGTCGCAGTTCCCTTTACCGAGTCCCGGTTCTCCGCCATCCTCTGAGCCCTCAGCGCTGTGCGTCCTCACATGCTTGCTGAGGTGGTCGGACCGCATGAACCGTTTGTGGCAGATCGAGCACTCAAATCGCTTCTCCCCGGTGTGCGTGCGCAAATGCCGCTGGAGCTCGTCTGAGCGTGTGAAGCGTTTCCCGCAGAAGAGCCAGTTGCAGACAAAGGGCCTTTCCCCGGTGTGCCAGCGCAGGTGGGCCTTCAGGTGAGAGGTCTTGCCATAAACCTTACCACAGCCTGGGATGTGACAACTGTGTAGACCCCTCCGACGCGGGCTCGTGCCACCCTGGCCAAGGCTCTCCGCCTCCTGACAGTTCGGGCAGTCGCACGTGGCTCTGCCGGCATAGCGCCGTGAGGAGGAGCGTGAAGATACGGGCACAGAAACAACGGAGGGCCCAGAAGTTACCGTTGTCTTAGGCTCTGTGTAGGGAGCTTGGACAGGTGGCCTGAAGCTGTCAAACAGGTGCTGTGTGGCGGGAAGCAGGTGTTGAGAGACACCGGGGTTGAAGGCAGAGTTGTAGTCAGTGCTGTAGCCGCTCAGAGGAGAGGGTAATCCGGCCGGGCTCTGTGTGTCCACCCAGCTGGTGCCCATCTCCCACCAAGCAGGAGGCCCGTTACCAACCTCACCCGCAGGCTTGAACCATGACTCATAGGGATGTGCGTGCATCCTTGGATACATCCCCGCAATACCCTCGACCGAAGAGGGGAATTTGGTGAGAAATACAGATCTCTGTGCTTGTGTAGGATCGGGGACATTGTTGTCTGATGGCACAGCGGTTTGGTACATTGAAAAATCATTTCCAAACGGAGAGCTGGCAGTGGTCACTGAAAAAGCGCTAGAGGACTCTATCAGCCCGGTCCCGTTAGTCCTCGGGGCTCCAGATGGAACCCCGAGAGAGGTCAGGCAGGTGCCCAAACTGCTGGTACTCGAGGCGCCCCCCTTCCACAGCTGAAAGCCCTTGACGAGTCCCGGGGCGCCATCAGAAAGAGCAGGAGAGTACGCGGGGCTGGGCTCACCGATCCTGCTGCAGGTGGCTGCCAGCATGGCAAGCGGGGCGCTGCCCAGCCGGGGCTCCTCCTGTAAGGAACGCACAGACACTTAGGCATGTCGCTCTGGAGTCGTGGCAAGACGTGGTGTGCGTAAATACGCGCAAAATGTGAGATAAACCGATATAGATCTAGTGTGTACGTTACACACTCTACGCAAAATGATAGGTCTTAAAGATTCAATTCAAGTCATGCAAAATTAATAATATTACATAGTTTAAGTGCGTCAATCAGAGACCACGAAGAACCGTATAGCGGAATATGGTAGGGGAAAACAAGTGAAATGGATAGAGTAAGCCTATTAATGACAATGCACTTTAACGTCATTAGTGAGAGATTTTCTACAATCAGTGTCCAACTGTGAAGTTCTTAAGACTACTTCTATTCGCTTGACCTGAGCCAGCATTCACTGTCATAATCAGTGAAAACAGAGGTTAAGAAAACTGGCAAGCTGCTACCGAACTAGTAAAGAAGTCTGAGCCATGGCAGAAAAACAGTACGAAGCAATATGCATTAAGTTTATTATTATCATATGAATATTATTAGTTCTTACAGCGACACTACTGTACGAAGTTTATTGAAACACCGAGCCTCCCTGTCAAACAAATATTTCAGCAGTTTCTTAGTAAAAGATGTGTCATTACGCGCATGTATATAGAAACTTAATCTTACCCCCAACAGTGTAGCAGCCATGATCCGTGCAGTGATACCTCCGGCTGACTCTGTGTGTGTCCCCAGTGACTGGACGTGATGAGTCTGCGTTTCCTCTCTGACTCCTGTAGTAGTTGTAGCTTCTTCGTGGCTTTGAAGTGCCGGTGAGAGCGCGGGGACCAATCCCAGGCCAGATCACATCTCAAGTTTTTGCGCTCGAGGTCTTCGTAAAATGATAAAGTGAGTTCTCACGGGCGCGCGCTTCAACAAGTAGGACAACAAAGTTAAGTCAAAGACAATACAGTAGAGTCAGTGGAACTATTTGACCACTCTGAAACACTAAGTGGCCATGCTTCCCACCAGTAGTGTCACATCACAAATACCAGTAATCGACTTCTCTTATCTTGAAACATTTATGTGGCTGAAAGTGTATTTAAATTATTTTACTTGTCTTTAAGGTAACTGATTTATTCACAGAACACAAACACAACAATGTTATGAACCGGGCAGAGTGGGCAACGTGCAAGGGCCCCAGGAGAGCCCAGTGATGGTCACCATGATAATAAACTGTGAGAATATGTATAAAAAGAAAATATTTGAAATATTCAACAATAACAGTACTTTCTGGATAGAGGGACAAATTAGGTTTAGTGTATTTTTAGGTCAAAGTAAACACTTGGGTTTTGAATGTTTAATGTGTCAGACAGAAAAGCTTTTTTTAGGTATTCAGTCTGATGTTGTAAAGCCATGCAGAGGGAGAGGCTGATGAATAAGAGGCTGGCCGGGTTCTTCCCATCCTGTCCCTGGGGCGTATCCAGTCAGCCCAGGGGGAGGGAAGGGAGGGCGCCACCACTGCCTCCACTATTTTATGTCATTCAACTTAGAACAAATGTCTCTTTAAAAACAAGACACCTCTTTCTGTGCTTTTCATAATTTTGTAAATCATTTAAATAAATAGTCAAACTTAGTAAAACTTAGATTCAGACTCAAGATGTGAAAAAAACTTTTACACCCTGAATGTGAATCTGTAAATACTCTAGTATTGCATCCTTCAATCACAAATGGTTAGCCAATATGATGACAAACACCCTGGAAATGACCTCTGCCTCTTAATATGCGAGCAAAACTGCAGAGGGGACATTTCATTTGAATTTCAAATGTAATAAAAACCAAGATTTAATTCATTTCCTTCATTTGTTGAGTATTAACTGCTTCCCTGCCATTTCTTCATGTCTTTTGTTCTAGGACCAGCCTAAATTAAGTCAGTTGAACACACGTAAAAGTTAATCACATTCCCCATTCACTCAGACCCCTACCCCCCAACACACACACACCGGCGAGCCTACTGTTTACGCTCATAGTGCACAAGATTAATTTTGGTGATGCATTCAAAGGCAAACAATTCACTCATCAGAGAGCCTGAATTTCAGTCTATACTTCAAAATGTTTTAGGAGACAGTTTTCACATTTTAGAAAGATAAGTAGGAGTGTGTAGGTCATGTACATTATTCTACAGGACTCCACACTATTTTAGTGACAAAAAAATCAGTTGCAATACATGTGACACTTTGACATTTGGGGAACTTTTAAACAGATCTTTATCCAGGGAGTTTGTAATTCAATAGAATATGTGTTTTCTGGCATAGTCAGAGGTTGCATAGTGGCCCAGGTGTGATTTGAAAAAATCAGACTGATTTGGTTTGTTCACATATCTGTGAGAACATCAGATCGGAGTCACTTGGAGGGAAAAAATTAGATATATAGCCTAATACCCACCTCCCAGTGGACCAGACAAAATCATAGGTTCCCACACTGGCCTTCGTTTTCCCCCACAGCCTCAGGCATGGCCAAATGCACAGGTGGAGTTTACAGTAGGCCATCTTCCCTTTAACCAGATCGCCGTCCACGTGAGCCAGCCAAACAGCTGTCTGTCTTTTCGAAGCATTCTTTTCCCACACTGAACGTGTGTGTGCTTTACAGGCCCCCCTGAAACCCTGTCCGAGCCTCAACCTGTTCCTTTAGCGATGATAATGACCACATTATCACGCACCATCGGACGTCAACAAAACAAGATTGTCGTGTGCTTTCCAATCACTTTGTGGGCACTGAGTCAGAAAAAGTGGAGAGAATAGAGTGAAATAAAGATCTGGCACCTCTCGGGGAGAGGGATGGGGGAAGTATTTTATTTCTCCTTGCTGTTTTCCTCTTCTCCTTTTCTTGTAGGTGGAATATAATCAGAGTGATCCAGAGGGCAAAGCAGCCATCTTGGTCAGCTGCCCTGCTGAGACAATTAGCAGGAGGATCACAGAGTCAAAAGCCAAGCTGCTTCAACATGACACAAAAAATTAATTGCAACATAGACTTAGCCAATCAAATTGTGAAAAAGAAATGTAAACTCAAATGGTAATTGAATTTTCAGAGTGACTGGGAGTCGTCCATGCCAATTTCCAGTGTAATAATGTGAATAATAAAGTGAGCTATGATGAATCGAAATGTGTTTAATAGCTGGATGTTTCGAAGACTCATGTAAAATCTAAGAAGTCATAATATTTGTACTATTAATATACACTACTATGTACAGCATGGGGGCGACAGTAGTTCAGTGGGTAGAGCAGTCGTCTCCCAACCAGAGGGTTGGAGGTTTGAATCTCGGTGACACTGAACTCCTAAGTTGCCCCTGATGGTTAGAGCCATCGGTTGAGTTGGTGCTGCAGATGGCTGCCTCGGTTCTGTAACGAAAACAAATTCTTTGTGTGTAACATACTTGGCCAACAAAGGTGATTATCCTTATCCCAGTATAAAAATGACCAGAGGGTACTAGGTCCCATTGTGGTATATACGGTGATATATGCTATAACCACATACAGTGGTTATAGGTTCCTTACAGCAGTGGCTGCACTGCTGTGAGGAATCTTGGAGTCATTTTTAACCAGGATATGTCCTTTAAATCACACTTAAACCAAGTCTCTAGAACTGCCTTCTTTCACCTGCACAATATTGCCAAAATCAGGAGCATCCTGTCTCAAAGTGATCCTGAAAAACTGGTCCATGCATTTGTTACTTCCAGCCTGGACTACTGTAACTCTTTACTATCAGGATGTCCCAATAATTCCCTAAAAAGCCTCCAGTTAATCCAAAATGCTGCAGCCAGAGTACTGACAGGAACTAGCAAGAGAGATCATATCTTTAGCCTTTAGCTATCAAGCTCCTCTCCTGTGGAACCAGCTCCTAGTGTCAGTTCGGGAGGCAGGCACCCTCTCTACCTTTAGGATTAGATTTAAGTCTTTCCTTTTTGATAAAGTTAGGGCTGGCTCAGCTAACCCTGGTTCTGTTGGAGGTTTCTTCCCTTAATGGGAGTTTTTCTTCTCCACTGTTGCCAGGTGCTTTCTAAAGGGGGATTCGTTGGGTTTCTCTCTATAATACTGTAACCTGACTAAGTAAAGTGCCTTGAGATGATTTCTGTTGTGATTTAGCACTATACAAATAAACCTGAATTGAATTGAATTTACCTTTATGCCTTGCCACAGAGTAGTAAATTGACTCCCCTCTGACCTGAATTTTTGTGTTCTGATTAACACAAAACTCAACTTAGCTTGTTTTATGAGACTTGGGGAAAAGTCATCCAGGTGAGCCGTGTGCCAGGATGCGCCTAGAGCAGCTCCTCCTTGGCTTCCTGTAATTACTGTGTGGAGAGGGCACGTCCGCAGTCTGTCAGCATGGGGCTGATGGACGACTGTGGCAGCGGAGCTGGGAAAACGTGTTGGGGTTGCTGTGATGAAAATGTCCACATAAGTGATTTATGAGATCCCTTTTCATCGCACCTACAATAAACGATCAATATGTACTGAAACCCCTCTTTTTGCCTTGCAAGCCTACACGCAAACTGTCATGCAAGTTGTCTTATAGTGTACTTTCAATCAAATCAAGGATGGACATCTTAAACAGTACAATCATAGACATGTGCAGAACACTGACAGAACACAGCAAAACAAAGGAGCAAGCTCATGATTTTTATCTCACAATGTTGTATGCAGATACATAGATTTCAACCAAGAGAGCCATTTCCACCATTTCTCCTAAATGTATAGAAGTTTATCCCCATTGTGTGTGTTTGTCTCTGTCTTTCACACAGACACAGGGGTCAGGAAGGCCATCTCTCATCAGTCTATTTACCTATAGGCAGCAGACTGAGGGAATACTGGTCAGGATAATTACACTGTAGAGGCACTTCATTCGCATTCATATATACAGCACATACACCAGGAGACACTCTAATTCGATGAAATCAGGGAAAAAGAAGTGGATGAGGATGTATTCATAGGTGAGGAGAGGACTGTTCTCTGCTGTGTGTTCTAGACACAAGTTTGGGCTGTAGGTGAATTGAAATTACATTTTATGTGTAGCATCTCTTTCTCTCTGTTCCACACACACACACACACACGCTTAAGTTAGGTGTTGATGGATGCCTGAGGTTTGCTAAGTCATACATCACAGAGGTCATTTAACCTGTCAACACATCTGCTGTCTCTGCCGTATGAAAGAGAGGAAGAGGTGGAGAGAGGAGAAAGATTTATAAAGGCAAGGGGGGGGGG